ATTTATCAATACGATTGATGGATGCATAGGGGCGGACATAGATTAGGAATCGTTCATCTGGAATATTTTGAACAGTTCATTTGTATATTTTTGTTAATGACCGCAAATCTCTTCTTTCATATGTTAAATTTGTATTTCTAGGATGAATTTTAAATCACCAATCATCCTCATTTTGTCATATATACATATATATATATATATATATATATATATATATATGTATTTATTTATTTATTTATTTATTTATTCATGCAAAAGGGTCTTTATGGTACTACCTAGACCTCGGGATTGTTATGGTAAGGAACCTCTAACGGGAATGAGAGATAACCATGGTCAACTTTAATGCCTCAGTCCATGACTCCTAGGTTTCCTTATATTGGAGTGTCTTTTGGCAATTATGAAGATTAGTACCACAAGCATATAGAGTTAGAAGCATATGTCACTTGAGTCTCTTGTATTGTGTTGAGAATTAATTGAATTAAATGTGTTTGTAATTGTGATATGGAAGCACCTTGAATATTTGATATATTGTGATGGTGTTAATTTTGGATGTATTGTGTGCTAGTTTTTCCTACATACCTTGTATATTTTATACGTGAATGAGATAAGTTCTCACTCATTTATATTTGTTTTATTTGTTGTTTTTGGTTGGGTTAATCGTCATTGTAAGAGTAGAGCATATATATGAGGCTAAACATAATGGAGATAAAGCTTAATGCTTTAGTGAATGGTTTGGGATCTTGCTCTGATAGTTTAACATTGAGGCTATAGGACTTTTATATTTTCTTTAGTCATTGGTTTGAGTTTAAATTGGTTTTATTTGGTTATTTCATTATGGAGGTTTTTGATAAGGTCGATTTGTGTCTTTATTTATAAATTCTTGTTTTAATTATTTCTTTTAATTGTTTGAGGAGTTTTTAACATATGAACCCTTTTACGAGGTGGATTTAAGTTAGTCCTTTTACAATTATCTTTAATTAAATGCATATTATTAATAATATTTTATACTAAATGCTTTAGGGGTAGAAGTGTGCCACAATGTTTAGCTTGATTGCTCAATTTCATTAAATTAAGGTCATTACAAGCCTAGTTCACTTTGTCCTCATTTCCTTCATCGTCAAAGAACAATCAATTACATTGAATATCTAAAAGAGTGAAATCCGGAAGCGGTTCCTAGTTTTTCTCCTCGGTCCTTCTTTCCTGTGTTTTTTTAGCTCTCTCTTTCTTCTTCAATGAGGTTGAATGAAAAGAAATGCTTAAGTAAATGACATGTCAAGGTTGTGATGATATGTTTCTTGACTTTCATCCTTTCATCAACACGCGTATTCAAGGTGTCACAAGAACATGAAATTCAGGATTAAACGTCTGATCACCATTTATCTTCATAAATGGAAGAGAAAAATTTCCATCTTAATGTGGCAGATAACACGGAAAGGAATTGACTATATACTCAACATCTCAATTAATATCTTTGATTTTAGGTCCACTTGAATTTCAATGAACCTTGCCATTTTCCCTAGGTTTGACTCTCGATTGATGCAATGTAACACCTAGGTCTTCATTTTTTCATGGCAAAGTTAGAGAAGGCCAGAAAATATGCAAAGAAACGTCCAAATAGTAGGTCCCACCACTCAATTACAAGCAATTTTTTTACATTTTCTTGCATTATAAATATGGGTTTTGTTAACCCTTCTTTTTCATCCTTCTCAAGCATTCTTATGTTCACTAAAAAAAATGAATCTGAAGTTTTGTATTTTGTTGTGCTTTCTTTCTAGGGTGGTTCTCATCTCTGTAGTGGTGGGTGATGAGCCATCTGAAAAAGGTATGGGCCTCGAAGCTAATAGTACTTGATAATTGTGAATGTCATTTAATTAATTCAAAGTACATTCCAAATATTAAGTGTGTGTAAAATTTACATTTGGTTGATGATGTTGTAGGAACAAATGAAATTCAAGAAAACATTGTTGTATGTGATGACGAGAATTATTGTAAGTATATTTTTTCCTTTCTCATGTTTTCTTGTAGTTAATGCAACTATTTGTAATTTGTGGTAATTAAACCAACATCATACATGAATCTTAAACGTGGTTGTTTATGCAGTTTTGAGTGGTAGGAAATTCCAACTAAATCATGGTAGCAATAACTGTAAAGGAAAGGGAAAAGGAGGTGGCGGATATGATGGTGGTGGAGGTGGATCAGGAGATGGCGGTAGTGGTGGTGGAAGCCCAGGAAAAGGTGGTGGAGGTTATGGTGGTGGTGGGAGTGGAAGTGGTAGCGAAAAAGGAGGTAATGTCGGAGGTGGTGGTAGCTCAAGAGGTGGAGCTAGTGTTGAAGGCCCCCCAAGTTATGGTAGTGGTGGCAGTGGAGGAGGTGGTGGTGAAAGAGGGGGTAGTGCTGGAGGTGGCAGTAGCTCAGGAGGAGGAGGTAGTGTCGGAGGCCCTCCAGGTTATGGTGGTGGTGGTAGCGAAGGAGGAGGTAGTGCTGGAGGTGGTGGTAGCTCAGGAGGAGGTAGTGTTAGAGGCCCCCCAAGCTCTAGTGGTGGTGGAAGTGGAGGAGGTGGTAGTGAAGGGGGAGGTAGTGGAGGAGGTGGTGGTAGCTCAGGAGAAGGAGGAGGTAGTGTTGGGGGTTCCCCAGGTTATGGAGGCGGTGGTAGTGAAGGAGGAGGTAGTGCTGGAGGTGGTGGTAGCTCAGGAAGAGGTACTGTTGGAGGTCCCCCAAGTTATAGTGGTGGTGAAAGTGGAGGAGGTGGTGGTAGCTCAGGAGGAAGTGGGAGTGCTGGAGGGCCTCCAGGTTATGGTGGCGGTGGAAGTGGAGGAAGTGATGTTGGAGGTGGTGGCAGTGAAGGGGGAGGAGGAAGTAGTGCTGGAGGACCCCCAACTTATGGTGGTGGAGGAAGTGGTGGAGGTGGTAGCTTAGGAGGAGGTAGTGTTGAAAGGCCTCCAAGTTATGGAGGTGGTGGAAGTGGAGGAGGTGGTAGTGAGGGAGGAAGAGGAAGTAGTGTTGGAGGACCGCCAGGTTATGGTAGTGGAGGAAGTGGTGGAGGTGGCAGCGAAGGAGGAAGTAGTGCTAGAGGTGGTGGTAGCTCAGGAAAAGGTGGGAGTGCTAGAGGGCCTCCAAGTTATGGAGGAGGTGGTAGCAAGGGAGGAGGTGATGTTGGAGGTGGTGGTAGTGAGGGAGGAGGAGGAAGTGTTGGAGGGCCTCCAGGTTATGGTGGTGGTGGTAGTGAAGGAGGAGGAAGTAGTGCTGGAGGGCCTCCAAGTTATGGTGGTGGTAGTAGTGAAGGAGAAGGTAGTGCCGGAGGTGGTGGTAGCTCAGGAAAAGGTAGTAGTGTTGGAGGTCCACCCGATTATAGTAGTGGTGGAAGTGGAGGTGGTAACGAAGGAGGAGGAGGTGGTGGAAGTGAAGGAGATGGAGGTTATGGCAGTGGCGGAAGTGGAGGAAGTGGTGGTAGTGCTAGTCAAGGAGGTGGTTCTAGCAGTGGTGGTGAAAGTGGTAGTAGCAGTGGGTATGGTGGTGGTAGTAATGATAAAGGTGATTATAAAGGAGGAAAAGGTGATAAAGGAGACCATCATGAAAAAGGAGGAAAAAATAAAGGCAAAAGAAGTGGTGGAAGAGGAGGATATGATGATGGAGGAAATTGAAATAGTATTAAAGAAGTTTGTGCCATCAAGAATAAAGAGAAATGATAGTTTTGGTGGATGTGAAACCAAAGTCTATAGTTAGATTGCTAGTACTTAGTTCTTTGTTGAACTTGAGTGTAGCTATGAAGATAATATTTGGTTTCAATGTACCAATAGTATGTAATGTTTTTACCTTGGTTCGTGAATGGTATATAATCTGGCGTTAATATGCAAATAAGTTATATCCATAGACACTAGTTTCTAATTCATGCAAGATTTCACAAAATTATTTTCATCATTTCTTTTTTCTTTTTAAAAAGTACAATTATATTTGGTACATAAATTTTTAGTAGTAATTGATGATACTAATCACGATATCACACAATTATCAAAAAGTTTAATGCAAATTAATAATAGGTTTTTTTCAAATTAAGATAATTATATAAGAGGTAATTGTTGCTATATATTCCCATTCTTTAAAGCTTGTTATTCTTATAAAAAAAAAAAAAAAAGACGTTGTAATCATGTAGAGCATAATTATGAATATTCTTCTTATTAAAAAAAAGGAATCTGAAAAATAACAATATAACACAATTTAAATTTAATAGTTACATGTTTATTATCGTCATCGTCATAGGTTAATTTGTTTTGATTATCACATTCTCATTACTATTAGGATTACGATGAAATGAAAAAAAAAAATGAAATTTAAGAATTTGAAGTTTCAAATCGTTTAATATAGAAAAAAAAGGATTTACAAGTTATTTTGAATTATGCATATTAAAGATAAAAATGATTCTGGTTACATTTGGAGAACATATATTTATTAATTTAACATGTCATTTTAGGGGTAATAGGATTGTGTAAGTTCTTCTAATTTTAGCAATTTTATAATTAAAACCATACCATTTAAGAATTTTTAACCAAATTTATATATGGTTTCGATGAATTTGTTATCCTACCTGATCAAAATTCAACATGTCAAGTTAGGTCAGCTATGTATATATATATATATATATATATATTGAAAATCCAATCATATTTGATCACAAATACAAATATAATGTTATCAATTGATAAAGCAAATAATGATACAAACTAAATTTTAAAATAAACTTGTTGATTTGCTACATTGTTATTGACTCAAACAGCCAACATTAATACAAAATATGTTGTATTGTTGTAATGTTAATGATCCAAAACACAATATCTATTATTGAACAAGAGTGATAGAAAGGATTATCCTGAGCAAGTGATCATACTAACTTATTATTATTATTATTATTATTATTATTATTATTATTATTATTATTATTATTATTATTATTATTATTATTATTATTATTATTATATATAACCTAGTCAAGTTGGGTCATGGGTCAAAAACACAAAACCCATTAATTGACTCATACAGTATCGGATCTTTATGAGGTTGGATTGAATCTGACTCAAACATTAAAAAAATCTAATCTAAACTTATTAAGTCAGTTTGGATCAGTTCAGGTTCACAGATTATTCATACTCACTTAGACTCTTAAAAGAGTGTAAGTGAAAAAATTTAAATCCCACATCAATTAAAGGATAAGATCCACATCAACAAAAAAAAAAGATAAATAAAGAAGTATTTAAGTAAAAAATGACTATCAATTTATAAGCTAATTTTTTAAGATTAAATTAAGTCCAAACTTATTTTACTATGGATTTCGATTAATGTTTATATGTAACAATTTTGTTTGATATTTCAGTTATATGATGCGATCCTTCTTCTTTCTAGTATTAATTAAATATGATGCAACCAGTTTGCTCATTCTCTTAGTCACTTGCCAGTTGCCATCTTCTGATAAACCTGCTTACCTCAGTTTACACACTTTTCCCAGTTTAACCCTTTAACGCCTTAATCAATGTTTATAAGGATCATTGACTCCCTATGATCCTCGCAATCAGCCAAACAAACAATGCCCGTTATCCAACCAAGAGAGACAAATCCTATGTTAAGAAAACCAAGTTATAATGACCACCGTCATCTACTTCACCTTTATCTTCTTTCATTTATCTTATTCCATGATCACTATAAATAGATGTTAAGAACAGTCTTTTTTCACAATAAAGTACTACACTTAAGTCTTAAATCTTAATCTACTAGCAAAGATGAATATCAAGCCCTTTTTCTTCTTATGCTTCCTCTGCGCACTGCTTCTCATCTCTGTCGTGGCAACAGAGCCATCCAAAGATGACACACAAGGTAATGCATATTATTTATATAACTAGCTGGCTAGCTGCATCTGTTCCTTTCTCAAATCACCCAAAACCATTGTCCTTCTTCCGATTCATCTACATGTTATTCTATTCTTCCTTCAGTAAAGCAATTAAACGTTTTGAACTTTAAGTTATTCCCTACTCTAGTTACTTAGGTAGTATGATGGCTCTGTAGGTAGTTACCATGCACGTACAATGTTTACTTTCTTCTTTAATATTGGTCAAGTATTGATTTATTTATATATATATATAATAAAGATTTATCAATAAATTGAAGTTATACAAATTTCTACTGAAGCCTTGAAGTGTCAAACTATTTTTTCTATATTTGCAGTAATAGCAATAACAATTTTTTTTATTCCATAAAAAGTATTATATATAAAGATTGCCATGAAGATTAAATTTAAGTTATCATGCGTCTATTTCAACCCCTTCTCTAACCACTAGCTTAACCAAATGATTAATAGCAATAACACTTTAATATATTACAAATGCATCTAAACTTAAAAAAATCTCCATCCTAAGAACAAAATCTTAATGTAACAAATTTGAGCAACTTATCATCGTTTATAGTTTTAAAAACCATCATGACATGTAAAAAGTCTAGCACACCTATGCTATGACCTAAACTTTAAGTTTTATATCCTCCTTTTATTGCGAATTTGAAAATTTTTGGGTATATAACGTTATATCTACATGCTGAAACAAATTAAAAAAAATGTTTGTCTATGTATGTGCAGCAGAAGAATCAGAGACAGTGACAGAGACTGAGCCAGGATTAGATGCCTGGGGAAGACGTGGAGGTGGTGGTGGAAGTTGGGGACACGGCGGAGGGAACGGTGGAGGCAGTAGGGGACATGGCGGAGGATATTGCGGATGCTGTGGTCGAAGGGGCTGCAAATGTTGCTGATCGAAGTTTAATACACAAATATAAACTGTGCATGTGATAATATAGTAAGTAAGAAATAAGAAATAAATATCCTCCGCCATGTCAATTAATTAATATTACTAAACTTGTCAATAATTTATATAGTTTTTCAAAATTTCTTCTTAGAAGATGTCTTATTAATAATTAAATTTAGTTACTGCGTGTTTTATATAAATATAATAATAATAATAATAATAATAATAATAATAATACAGTGAATAATTTGGATGATCTCTTGTAAAAAGATGACAAACATTCCATAATAATTCATAAGAGAACCAAAGGTAATAAAAAGTACCAATGGTTTCAAATTTTCCAAGTGTCTTCATTATTTAAAAACAAACAAAAAAAAAGATAATTAAAAAGAAACAAAGATCATCGAGATGGTAAAGGTTTAATTTCTACTATGTATCTACAACTACCACTACATAATTCAAAATTAAAATATAAGCTTTATTGAAAAATATTTAATGTATGAAAAGTACAAAAGTCATTCAGTACTTAATTTTTTTACGATTTAACGTGGTATACCGTATACATGACATTTTTACATTATATATTGTTTAGCATGCAATAAGATACGCTTAAGTAGGAGCCCAAAATATAGACAGTCCAATGAGCTGAACCAATTTCTTATAACTCTGAAAATTCAAACTTTAACTTATTTTGGCTGGGCCTCGCCGGTTAAGTCAAACTTGAGTTTTTATTGATCCGAAGTGGTCTGTCCTTGATGGGCTAGGCCAATCCATTGGCCCGATTTATTTATTTATTTTTATTATTATCATTATTACTTTTATATATAATTAAAATTATAAATGATGAATTTAATGTTATGTATGTGATGTTAATGTTCAGGAATAATATCTATGCAGATTGAATTTATTTTTAATTTCTAACCCTTGTTTATCGTTGAAATTGATTTAAAATCTTTTGGATGCAAGTTAAAAATGGTTTAGATAGTTTCTTTATTGAAAATAATTTTTTTTATAATAGATAAGTCTTTAAAAGCACTTCTAAATTCGTATCTAAACATACTCATAATTAATTTTATTATTATTATTGTTACTATTTTTTTTCCTTCTATTTAATAGTATAAATTGCAATTTATTTATTTTAGTTTATAGTGTTTAAAACATATTTTATTAACTAGCTATATAAAAACTAATTTATTTTGATAATTTAAATTTTATGTATTTTACGAAATGAGCGACCTATGAACCAATCCTTTTACTTTAGCCTGTTGTCCACCGATGGTTAGGTTAGGCAATCAAAATTTGAGCATGCTATTCATTGATTCGGCTTCACCCAAAATGTGTTGATTCAAATTAATAACTACGTATATCTTCATTTTTATATAGAAAAATTAATTTATCGTTGAAGCATCTTTCTATTCTAAAACTTGCTTAAAATTAAATAGACATTTTAAGATGTTTCAATTAACAAACGCACACTTATATTTTTCATTCTAAACTCAAAGTGTTATATACACCTTCTAACTTATATAAGAGATGTTAAATATGTAATTTGCAATTAGTAGTTTATCGATAAAAAGATTCTCCCAGTCACACACTATATGATTCAATCAAATATAGTAATATTATACTATAAAAGAAGGAATTCGCTTATCCAAAAGAGTAAGTTTTAAATTGATAGATTGTTTTTTACTTAATAATTTATATTTTATATTAAATTTTAATTATTTAATTATTAAATTAATTTTTTTTTATATATAAATTAAATCTATAATTTTTTTAAAAATTTAAAAACTATTTGATATATATTTTATTTTATTAGTTTAAATTGACAAATAACATTAATTTTAATATATATAACTAAATATTATTTAATTTTTAATTTTTTTAAACAATTATAAACTTGATCTATACATAAAAAAAAATTAATTTAATAATTGAATCATTAAAATTTGATGCATAATATAAGTTATAGTGGAATAAGCCTACAAAAGACTTGTTTTTATAATAAGTAGATCATTTCTCTTTATATATAAAGAGAGAGAAAAAGATGAAGGATTCACTTATTTCAAGAATAAGTCTACCTATACTTATTACTCCACTTAATAATTTATTTCTATATTAAATTTTAACAATTCAACCATTAAATTAAGAATTATTGATGAATAAATTAGGTCTGCAAAGTTTTAAGAAAATTTAAAATTATTTGATATTCTGTTTCACTAATTCAAATTTATGAATAAAATATTTTCATAATTATTTGTTAATTTAAATTAATAAAATAGAAAATTTTGCAAATTTAATTTATGTATTAATAATTTTTAATTTATGATTGAATTGTTAAAATTTGATATAAAATATGGGTTATTGAATTAG